ACCCTGACACAGCTGGGAGAGGGACAGAGGGAGCAGGGGCAGCAGAGGGGCTGGGAAAGCATCCTGCAAACCTCCCTATCTCTCCGCAGCCATGAATCCCTACTTCAACTGCTCCAGCCTCGAGTTCCCCCTGCCCCAGCAAGACTTTCCTGTGGAGCCCATCAGCCCCGATCTCTGCAGCAGGACTCACCCAGAGACCTTGTTTGACCCCAAGGATGCCAACCTGACGGAGGAGCAGCTGCGGGACAAGTACCTGGGACCTCGACGGTCCAGCTTCTTTGTCCCTGTCTGTGTCATCTACCTGCTGATCTTCGTGGTGGGGGCTGTGGGCAACACGCTTACCTGCATCGTCATCCTCCGGCACCGGTTCATGAGGACACCCACCAACTACTACCTGTTCAGCCTGGCCGTGTCCGACCTGCTGGTGCTGCTGCTGGGGATGCCACTGGAGCTGTACGACATGTGGAGCAACTACCCCTTCCTGCTGGGCGCCAGCGGCTGCTATTTCAAGACGCTGCTCTTCGAGGCCGTCTGCTTCGCCTCCCTCCTCAACGTCACGGCCCTGAGAGGGGAGCGCTACATCGCCGGGGTGGCGCCGGTGGAGCACCTCCCCCTTCCTGCTGGGCGCCAGCGGCTGCTATTTCAAGACGCTGCTCTTCGAGGCCGTCTGCTTCGCCTCCATCCTCAACGTCACGGCCCTGAGCGTGGAGCGCTACATCGCCGTGGTGCACCCGCTCAAGGCCAAGTACGTGGTGACCAGGAACCACGCCAAGAAGGTCATTGTCACCATATGGGTCTTATCGGTCGTCTGCTCCATCCCCAACACCAGCCTCCATGGGCTGCAGCCTCTCTATGTGCCCGGCCGGGGGCGGGTGCCCGATTCTGAGATCTGCACCCTGGTGAAGCCGCGCTTGACATACAACCTCATCATCCAGATCACCACCATCGTCTTCTTCTTCCTGCCCATGGGGACCATCAGCATCCTCTACCTGCTCATTGGCCTGCAGCTCAAGAAAGAGAAGATGCTGGAGGCCTTGGGAACCAAGTCTGACAGCAGCCGCGAGTGCCACAACACCCAGAGACAGAAGAAAGTCAAGAGGAGGCAGGTCACGAAGATGCTGTGTGAGTCCAACTGTGGGGAATCCGATGCTGGTGAGGGGCAGAGCCAGGGAGTATCTCCCAAGGTTGTGTTGGGAGGGTACTGGGGGGAAACCAAGGTGGCTCCGGTACTGTGGTGGGGATTGCTTGTGCCAGCTCCCTCCCAGCTGCAAGACCTCCCCTCCTCCCAGCTGCAACCCCTCCCGTCCTCCAGGAAAGTGCTGGGTGAGAAAGGAGCTGGGATGGGATGGGGGAACCTGCCCCCTGTCCCCCAGCCCAGACCTCATGTACTGGCGGCAGTGATGGGATTTCCCAGAGAGGGACCAGTTCCTACCCAGCCCTGCAGCCTCTGTGACCGTCCCAGGGCAGTGACGCACTGAACCAAGGCTGGATCATCCCTCTGTCCCACTGCTCTGTGCCCTTGCTCCCCTCCCCAGCCCTGTCTCTGCAGCCTCTGGCCCCCTTTCTGGCTGCCTTAGAGTAGCCGCCTCTCCCCGGCACGTTGACCTCCGCATGCTCCCAGCCCGGTGACGGCACAGCGATGGCAGGTTGCCCAGCCCAGTCCATTGGTGGTGCCAGGGCTGCTTCTCTGCCATGTCCCAAACAAGCGGTAGCTCCGCTTCCCCCAGCACCGGGGCTGGGAGGGGGACAAGGGACCACCCGTCCCTGTGTGCCACAGAGATGTGGTGTGGCATGGGTATAGCAGCACTGGGGACCCCAGGACCACCTACACATGACTCCCTTTCCTTTCCATCAGCAGAACAGGGTTATAAAAAGACCCCAAAAGCAGAGCACGAGGAGAGGGCACAAAAAGCTCTTGCTCCTTGGACTTTGCTGGTGGAGGTGGCAGGGTTCCCAGAGGCTGGATGCCCACCGGGGTGTCCCACAGCCATGCTGCATGGCCCCGCGGCTGTGGCAGGACCCGCTGCCTGCCGACGGGGAGCAGAGACACGCACATCAGTGTCGGGAGCAGCCCTGGCAGGAGACAGAGGGAGGGAGATCTGGTCCGGACCTCCAGCCCCATTGCAGCAAGTCAAAAAGGCACTGGGGGGGCCCTGCTCCTCTCCCCCTTCCTCTCTCCCATGCTTTTTTGGGGTGTTCTTTGCTATGGTTGAAGCTGAAATGGGGCAGTGCTTGGCCACAGACTGGAGGTCCCCAGGGGGCTGAGCCCTGTCCCCCCAGTAACACTGGCTCCTCGGCTCCCCACAGTTGTGCTGGTGGTGGTGTTCGGGATCTGCTGGGCCCCCTTCCACACCGACCGCCTTGTCTGGAGCTTCGTCTCCACCTGGACCAGCCACATGCTCTACATGTTCCAGTACGTCCACATCATCTCAGGCGTCTTCTTCTACCTAAGCTCGGCCGCCAACCCCATCCTCTACAACCTGATGTCCACCCGCTTCCGGGAGATGTTCAAGGAGGCAATGTGCCACCCCGGCCACCGCCCACCACGGTCACGGAAATACTCACCCAGCGTCACCCGTGGCACCACCCGCAGCACCGAGTGCGAGCCCATGCCCAGTGCCAACGGGCTGCACCACTCCGATGCTGATGAGTACGAGCTGGAGGAGGTGGAGGGCGGCCAGGCCACCACGCATGCAGTGTCCCTCTGCTGATGAGCAGGAGGACACGGGGAGACTGGAACCGGCTTTCCCCACCATCAGCATCCATCTGACCATGCCACCCATCCCATGGTGGGGAGTGGGGCAGGAGTGATGGAGGGGTCCCCTCCTCTCTGTGCTGTCCCACTGGGATGCGAAAGCTGGTTTTCTTGGCAGTGCTGCTCCGGGGACACGGCGGCAGTGGCCATGCTGTGCCCTGCATGCATTGCACCCGCTGTGCTCAGCACTAGGGTTGGCCAAGGCCAGGGTATCCCTCGTGGTGTGGGGATGGCTGGCTTCTATGTCAGGGACATGCCAGCAGCCCCGCAGAACATCCGGTCCCTCCCAGCCCAGCAAGGTGAGCCCGTGGGCACAGGTCTCAGGGGTGTCAGCCACCCCGGGCTGTTTTGGGACACTGTGTTGGGTGGGTGCCCCGAGAGGTGTTCGCACCCGAGCTGAGAGTTTCAGTAGTGCCCAGTGACAGGACAAGGGGCAATGGGCACAAACTGAAGCACAGGAAGTTCCGTCTGAACATGAGGAAGAACTTCTTCCCTCTGAGGGTGATGGAGCCCTGGAACAGGCTGCCCAGGGAGGTTGTGGAGTCTCCTTCTCTGGAGATATTCAAGACCCGCCTGGACAAGGTCTTGTGCAGCCTAGGGGACCCTGCTTCGGCAGGGGGTTGGACTAGATGACCCACAGAGGTCCCTTCCAACCCCTACCATTCTGTGATTCTGTGATTCTGTGAGACCCATGGAGAGACCCATGGGAGAGGTCTGCACGGAATGGAGGGGGGAAAAAGGTCTGTGGGTGCCTTCTCCCTCGAGATCCTCCTGGGGCCCTCTGGCACCAATGTGCCCCCGATTTTCTCGCACATCCCTTCAGGGGTGCCAGCCAGTGTTTGGCTGCAGGGTGCCAATGCAGCTCCTTGCTCCCAGCTTCCCTCCCGCTCCGGGTCCCTGAGGGCAGGGGAAGGAGCATGTCCTCTCCCTCCAAAGCCAGAGACCACAGGGGGAAATACAGGACAACGGGAGCCGTAGGCTGCCTGCAGCACCGAGGCACAGCTCTGTGCCTTCCCCATGCCCCACAAACGTGCCCCGCTCTCCCCCTTCCAACGTGCATCTGGTGGGTGTCACCCTCCTCTTCCTCAGCCTGCCATGGTCCCTTGCATCCACTGGGGATGCGGGGAGCCCTCCTCCATCCCTGCATGGGCCATGCCTCACTGAAAATTAAAAAATAACCTGTTGGCCTGATCTGTGCCCTAGTTGTGTCCCTGCGGACCCAGCCCTACTCCCAGCACGGGACCGAACATGGGCCATCCTCCTGGGGGGTGACGGGCAGGCCATGTGCCAGGGTGATGGGCACCAGGGGTGTCCCACTGACTCTGCCTGCGGGCTTTGCCACCACAGCCAGTCTGTGGGGCCGGCCACGGCAGGTAAGGCGTGACGGGGATGCACGCACCCTTCCCGGTCTTCGGGATGCTCGGGCCGAGCTGGGGCTGGGGCCATTGCAGAGGGGGAGCTGCCTGCGGAGCGGCAGCGATCAGTCTGTCCCCAGACAGATCAGGAAATGTCACCAAAATGCCAGGGAGCGCGGGCTGGCTGGCTGCGCTCCCCCGGGCTGGAAGGACCCATCGATTTACTGTCTGAGATCAATGCCGCTGACTTCCCGGTGTACGCCAGGTCGTCCTGCAGCATGAAATACCGAGGCTCGGAAATGCCACCTGAGGGGGTGTCCTAGCAGCCTGAGTGAGCTCCTGCCTTGCAGAAATTCCTCACAGCCCGGGTTCCCCTCCAGCAGCTGGGCAGGCTCCCCAGGCTCGATGTCCCGCAGCCGTGCCTCCGGGCAGCACGGATGTGCCAGCGGGGCTCGCCTGGGGACCCGAGCAGCCACAGCAGAGGAGCAGAGCGCTGGCAGGGGCATCACTGCTTGCTGCTGCTCTGCTTCCAGCCCTTCCTAAGCACAACACACGGGGCCACGGCCAGGCCAGCAACCGAGAACGGGCAGGATTTGGGGCTTGCAAACTCTGTGCTGCCTCCACTGACCTGGTCCCCAGCTTGGGGGGAGTGCAACAGTTTCCCTCCCCACTCCCCATCCCCACAAAAGCCCTTCATGGGGACCTGCTGTGTGCTGCTGGGTGAGGGTGGGCACGGGGCTGCAGTAACTTTGCTCTCCAGGGTCCTGCCAGCTGCTCACAGCCTCTCCAGAAGACGCCAGCATGGCCAAGGGCATCAAGATCCATCTATTTCCTTCCCTCTCTGGCTCCCATCGCTGATGGTACTGGCAAGGGACAGCACCCTGGGGTCCCTCATCACTGCTGCATGGGTGGAGTGACTGATGCTTCCTTGAGAGCCGTTATTGCCCCATCTCACTTCACCCAGCCACTTCCCTGGCTGCACACCTCCATGGAATGGCTTTTTAATGGGTGACCGATAGCATTTTATTACGCAGCAACAGCTGCCTGTGCAGAGCTTCGGGGTCCCTTGTGCCACAGATTGGGAAGTCGCGTCTCTGTTCTTGCGGGCAGCCGGGCTGTGCGAGGATACGGCTGTGGCCACTGCAGCTCGAGCTTCTTGGTTGGTGCCAGAGGTGAGTGTGGGTGCCCTCCAGGGTTTTTTTGAGGGGGTCCTGGGGCTCAGCACAGCTGGGGTGGAGTTCAGAGCAGCCAGAAAGGTGAGGCATGGGCTTCACCCTCATCCTGCCTTGTGTTCCCAGCTCCCCTTCTGTCCCCTGACGTGGGACTCCACGTCCTCCTCAGCTACCCTGAATTCCTCTCTCTGAGATGCAGGAGGGGAATGCACTGCTGAGGCCCCGGCGTGTCAGCCGGCGATGCTGGGGGCTGCCCCTTCGCCCACCTCCCACACACAGCTGGGCCAGCGACCACCCCAAAACACATCCCGAAGGCTTTCCAAAGCCGCAGCTGCAACACGGCCGGTGGCGTTTCCTGGGTGGGGATGTGCGGGCAAACCTCGCTCCCCTGGCCGGGGTTTTGGAACAGAGTGTGGAGACAGCCCCAAGTCCCCGGGTACTGCATGCCAGCCGGGCTCACGAGGGATGCTGTCATCGAAGGCTCCCAGGCAAGTCCTTTAATCCCATAAATAATATTAGTAAAAGCTGCAGTCAGGGCATGAAACCTAATAAAAAGGGAACTGATGTTCTGGGGCAGAACTGTTTCAAGGAGAGGGTTTTATATCTCTCTGTCACTGGGAAGGCAGTGACTGCCGGCTCCTGCCCGCCTCAGGCTCATTGCAGCCCCCAGGAAGGGAATTAAGGAGCCTCTTTGCTCCAAGGATGATGGTTCCCACTGCCCTGCGCCCTTGGGGTCAGCCTGGTCCCCTGCCACTTTCCCAGTATAAATTAACTGGGTTATTCCTCCTGGGGAGGTGGTACAGAAGCAAAGAGCCCTGCGGGGGCCGGGGGAGGGGAGGCAACAGAAGCAAGGGATGGGGCAAGTTGCTGCCACTGCTCCCAGCCATGTAACCAGCCAAGCGGGTTGACCAGTGCTTCAGGATGGCTGTGGGGGAAGAAGGATCCCAAAACACCACCTGGGAGTTCTCACCCGCTAAATGATCCTTCCAGGACCCAATGGAGCCCTGGGGGGACAGAGCAGAGGGACACCGGGGGGCCAGGCCCTGGCGGGGGAGTGTGCAGATGCCGGTGGATGGGTTTGCTCCAGGTCTTCGCTCGGAGCTGGGGGAAGCATCTCCCTGTCCCTGCAACACAGGGCACGTGGCCGGGTCGGGCTCCATGCCGCCATCTCCTCTCCAAACGCTTTGTTTCCAAAGAGCCATTCCCCAAAAGTCCCCCATCTGTCCTTCTAGATTTACAGCAGCATCTGTCCAACAGCCAATTCCTGCCTAACCACCCTCTCCTGGTGCTGGGGGAACCTTCCTGCCCCCTGCACCCCCACAGCAAGCACCCATTCCCCCTCCATCACCCCGCGAGCACCCCTGGCCCCGCTCCCGGGAGAATCTCAGCAGCTCGTAGAGCTGTTTTCTCCCCGCACCATCACACACTCTGAGTGACACAATATCTCTGGAGCTTCCAATAAAAAGATTTATCACCATTGCTTTGGGGATTTAAAAGCAATCTATCTATGAGGCTGTCCCAGCCTTGTAAGGCTTTTATTTTGTGCTATGCTTGTTTGCAACAGGCATGGGGTGGGGTTTTTTTCCTTTACGGAGCCAAACTCCAGTTCTACAGCGATTGCCTCGTACGTTTGGAGCCGTGATAGATGGCTCCAGAGAATGTCAGCAGATTTTTTGCTGCCTCTCCTCAATAATCCAAGGGAAGGGTTGTTTTTCGCTTACTTCGCACAGCCATGGTATGGGCAAAACACATACAGTTTGAATTTCGCAAAGCCCTCGCATGCCTGGGAACGAGCGGTCCCTGGCTGGGGCCGAGCGGTGGGGTGCGTTCAGGCTGCCCGGCCATGGGTACGGCACAGCAGCCTCTCCCACCGAGATCCCAGGCTTTAGGAGGGGAGCAGGGAAGCAGGAAAATGTAAATGTCAGGGAACAGCAGGGGTGCGCTGGGTTTGAGCTCGGCACTCGTTGAGGCTGCTTTTTGAACAATATTTCAATTATTCCTTTCACTTCATGGTGGTGGTGGTGGTGAAATGCTAACACCTAGTGCCTGCAGACTGGCGATGGGCAGCATAACGGTAGGCAGGAGGACAAATGGACAGGCACGGGAAATACAATAGAAGTAGTGTCTGATTCTGCTCCTTGGGGACACCCCTGGGCTCAGTTTTTAGCCCCATGCCGAAGCCTCCTCTTTCCACCCAGCTCCTTGGTGGCTTCCCAAAGAGCCAGGACTCGCGTAGGAACCAGCTTCCCAGGCAGCCACGCGCTGCGGAGAGGCTGGGAAGGGGCGACGTGGGAAGCACAGCCCGCCCAAGGGCCCGGGATGGAGGAGCTCAGCCGCAGCTCCGGATGCTCGGTCTGACTCAGGGCCACACTGCGGTGTGACTGTCACCTGCGCTGGGGGTGGTTTTCTCCACACCACAGCAAACCCAA